ATTATTAGTTATACAAACAACAAGGATTACAATCCTTGAATATAATTTTTATGAGGTGAGCAAAACCTTGGACAGAGGGGTGGCAGTGGATGTGTTTATACTTGGATTTTGCAAAAGCGTTTGACACAGTTCCCCACACACGGCTAATGTGTAAGGGAAAGTCTACAGGCTTGGGAAAAATCTGTATGTAAATGGTTAGAAAACTGGCTAAAAGATCGTATTCAGAGAGTAGTGGTTAATTGAATACTCTAAAATGGTCTGGGGTTGTCAGTGGTGTACCCCAAGGTTCAGTGTTGGGACCATTACTTTTTAATATATTTATAAACGATATAGGGTCTGGGAATAAAATTCCCATCTCAGTTTTTGCAGATGACACCAAGCTGTGCAGTAGAATAACGTCCTTACAGGATGTCTCCAATTTACAAGCCGACCTCAATGTTCTGTGTAATTGGGCAACTATGTGGCAAATGAGGTTTAATGTTGATAAATGTAAGGTTATGCACTTGGGGGCTAAGAATATGCATGCATCATACATACTAGGGGGGGTACAACTGGGGGAATCAATGGTGGAGAAGGATCTGGGAGTTCTGGTAGATCACAAGCTTAATAATGGCATGCAATGCCAAGCTGCGGCTTCTAAAGCGAGCAAAATCCTCTCTTGCATTACAAGAGGTATAGACTCCAGAGAGATATCATTTCCCCGGTACAAATCATTAGTAACACCTCATCTGGAATATGCAGTTCAGTTTTGGGCACCAATTCACAAAAAGAACATTGGGGAACTGGAGAAAGTACAGAGAAGGGCAACCAAACTAATCTTTCCTCATAGCTGAGCTCCTCTATGCCTCTATCAAAGGTATTGAATGTATCCTCTCTTGAGAAGAGGAGATTAAGGGAGGATATGATCACCATGTATAATACATAAGGGGGGATATGATCAACATGTATAAATACATCAGTGGTTCATATAGTGAACTTGGTGTAGAGTTATTCACCCTGAGGTCATCACAGAGGACAAGGGGGCACTCTTTACGTCTGGAGGAAAAGAAATTTAATCTCCAAAACACGGAAAGGTTTCTTCACAGTGAGAGCTGTGAAAATGTGGAATAGACTCCCTCAAATGTTGGTTCTGGCCAGCTCCGTGGATTGTTATAAAAAAGTCCTGGATTCTTTCTTAGATACACAGAATATAACTGGATACTAACATTTATAGGTAAAGTTGATCCAGGGAATATCCGATTGCCTCTCATGGGATCAGCAAGGATTTTTTTTCCCTGCAGGAGCAAATTGGATCATGCTTTGCTGGGTTTTTTTTGCCTTCCTCTGGATCAACTGTGGGTATTGGATTATAACTTTTTTTTTTTTAATGGTTGAACTGGATGGACCTTTGTCTTTTTTAAGCCAGACTAACTATGTAACAATAAGCTGATCACAGCACAATTTGTAGCATCGGTTTGATCCAGCTCAGTCTCTTACAGCCCCATTCCAGGCAGGCAGGCAGGCAAAAAAAAATAACACCTTTGCGGCAGGCCCCTCTTAAAGCTCCACCCCAGGTAGAAAAAAAAATACCCTTGCAGTAAATACCACAACCACCACCACTGCAAGGGTAAGCACTCAAAAATTTTAGGGCCTGAGGAACAAGGTGTAATACCTTATTCCTTGCTCCAGCAGGCTTCCTTCACGATGAGCACCTAGTCCCCCAAAGCCTCTTTTTTTAAGCTGCTGCAGTACCAGTTACAAGCTCATGTCATCAAGCACAATGTAGAACCAATACTACTGCAGTGTACATGAGGACTGCAAGGGTCCGCCTACAACTTGAAGCATTGGGGAAAAAAAAGAGCATCAAAGCGAAGAATAAAAGGAAAATAGTGCACTACATTCTTTTACCCCTAGACGTAACAAGTAATTAACCCTAGCAATGGGAAGGTGGGCACAGCAAATTTTAATAAACTCTGGAATTTAGCTTTAAAATCTGGGGATCCCGTGTACCTCCTCATAACAGCAGCAAAGCAATTGCCCTGCAACTTTCATAAGAATATTCAAACACCATACAGACAGGGTCTTTGATGGAAACTAAACGTAGAACCCCAGATCTGCAAGTCCTCAGTGCTTACCATAGCAGCCCCCCCCTACAATAAACTGGTGCTCATCTCCTCCTTCCTGCCCCTTCCTATTTTTTTCAAATGGATAAAATATTCTGCTGCACTCTGCAGATCCCACAGGGTAGTTAGCTTGCTTATGCATGAACACCATCCACTGTCAATAGGCAGCACATCAATTTTCCACTAAAGTGTAAAAGCTCTTTAGTAAAAAAATAGTGTGCAGTTTGCTAAAGGTGACCATACACATTAAGGTACAATTAGGTGACTTGTGCATTAATGGCTGTAATTTGGGCTGTGCTAATACACGCATAACAGTGTTTTTGTATCAGTTGATAAACTTTGATTTCACTACTACTTTATTGTCATGCTTAATGAGCAGAAAAATGGCTTGCACCCTGTAGGACATTACCAGAAATGTTCAGTACAAGGAAGAGGCAACAAACTTTTTTAAATGCCCCTTACTGGGAGTATGCAAATTTGTTTTATAAGGTTTCTGTCATTTATTGCAATTGTACATTAATTCTTGATAACAAAGAATAAAACTTTGAAAGCTATATCATTTTTTGTATCAAAATATTTTTTCAGAAAACCTAACCAGGATGCAAAAGGCTCACTAAAAGAAAGGAATATTTTAGCAAAAATGAACTGCTATCATTTGAACAGCAGAGGGCACTCCCATCCATCCATACACATGTCTACAAATTGAAATCACAAGTTGACATTGCGGTGAGGAAATGGAGCTGAGCATGCAGGCCTGTGGTAGATTCATAAAGGGGTGGCTGACAATGCAAAAACTTTAACTGGAAGGGGTTTGAAGAGCCAGAAACGGCTTGAATGAGAATACATGGCTCAGAAAAAAATATTATTAAAAAGATGAGCTAATCTTTGCAAGAAAGAAAAAATTATGAGGCTGAATATTCTTTTTGCACAACTTGTCTATCAAGGACCAGGTCATATGGTTTAGCCAATTTTTTACATGTGACAAGTGACATGACAGCTGTTGTACAATACTTGCCACTGTGTCCTCGACTGCAGTAGTGGTCAGCTTACAAGGTATAGGACACCTCGGCTGTGGCCCCCTGGAATCACCAATGGGCCACATGAGGCTGTTTTCTTCTTTTCGCTGGGCAGCCTTTAGATCTTGGAAATTAGTAGTGGGGGGTAGAAAATTGTAAATGGTCTGCAATGTAACGCCCGGCGTCTCCTGTAGCGTGCCTGCAACGCCCGGCAGTCTCCTGTAGCGTGCCTGCAACGCCCGGCAGTCTCCTGTAGCGCGCCTGCAACGCCCGGCAGTCCCCTGGGTCTCGCTGGCAGTTATGATATCCATGCATTTCAAACCCATCATTTTATGTACCACTCAGGCCTACAAAAAAATCATACCACGTGTGGGTATTTTTTTCTCTCATTACATGTGTGCTATAAACAATTTTTTTTTCTTACACTTGATCTCAGAAAGGGTAAACATAAAGTGCATATATAGTGGATGCCTTTAATTTCCCAACTATATGCAACCCTAAATGGTGATTATTGGGTGTGTTTGAGGGCCTAGACATCTCTGCCACAACCCAAACAGTTCTTAAGGCTCAGGTTATATTATGCTAGGAAATGAATAGCTTTCCACTGTCTTTTCTCTGAGCCTCTGCATATAGGCCCTGTGTAAAAAAATGAATTATCCAAACCTTCTGCTGTACAAGATGACATATGAGGCTAGAGGGCGTCCGGGGAATTTTATACAATTTGGGGACCCTAGCTAGGTACACAGGACACTGCAGATTCTCTCCTTTTCTTCATAGTGGATTCTACACCATAGTTCCCTTATTTGTGTATTGTCATGGATGGCTATATTTAATACTTTCCCAACACACGGTTTTTAATGGCTTCCCAACCGTCCTAGCAGAACTACTGCTACAGGGCAGCGCAAAATCATGTACATATATGTGATTTTGTATTTCCGGGTAGGGGGTGAAAGCGTGCCCTACTAGCGCCGCCACTGGCGGCTACAGCTGTCGATCACCAGGTCCCGGCCGCAGATTCCCCACCGGCACCCGCCGATCACCGAGTATCACTGACGGGGGAGAGGTCTGTTTGTAAACAATACAGACCTCTCCCCTGTCAACTTCAGCACGCTGCTTTGTATTGCTCTGCATAGCAGACCAATACAAAACATGCCTGCGTAGTAAAATAGCACTCAGTAAAACACACACAGCACACAGTTAACCCTTTGATCGCACCAGATGTTAACCCATCCCTGCCCAGTGTCATTAGTACAGTGTCAGTGCTTTTTTATTAGCACTGATCACTGTATTAGTGTCACTGGGGATGTCAGTGACAGTTAGTCAGTTCCGACCCAGTGTCAGAAAGGCCTGGTCAGGAAGGGGGGTAAATCCTCAAGAGAGCAAGTGGTTAATAAGCACAGGCGGGACTTGGTTGAAAGTTTTTTTCGGGAACAGGCCTTCCAGCCTATTGTGCTTAAAACATGGGTGAGCACAACAATGACACTTTTTCTCTAGGGGTCGAGTTATTGTATTATTTACAGTTTGGTTACATGTTAATTGGCGTTATGCTATCTGTTCCTTGCCAAATTTCTGAAGTATTCAGAATATTTCTCTGTGAATGTACCTATATTTACATATATAGAATATTTTTTGTGAATGTACATTTATTTGCACTCTCAAAAAAAAAAAAAATCATGAAACAAATTTAGTGCATAAAATCTGCAAATTTTGTATACATTGAGTGGGGTATGGCAAAGGTAAGTGAAAATGTTCATTAGATGATGTGATGATTCACTATCACAAAAATCTTTTTCTACATTTATGTCTTTCATGTACAGGGCCCCCCAGTAGACTGGGAACTCATGCACACAAGTAATACTTATTACACAGGGGTACTGACCAGTTAAGGGCAGCGTGGTCGTAAAACTCTCACCTCCATTTCCTCCCGGTGAGAGCGATCTCTGTCCTCAAATTCTCGGGTTCTCCTGCGAGCTTCCTCAAATGCTTGCTGTGCCAGAGCATCTTCGTGCTGCAAGACAAGTACAATCAAGTCTGCCAGTTTTCCAGGCTGAGATCTGAACTGCAATTCTAAGATGACCTCTATCCAAACATAATATTAAGTAATGCTGGTTGCCTTCCAGGACTGGATGCTGACAGTGCACTTTGTGACTAAACTTAAACCATTATGCTGGTATATGTAAATCTGATGCTGTTCCGCAAACATACATAGAAAGAAAACAATCTTGCAAACAATGAGATTTAATCTCTTAAAATGAACCAAGGAATCAGATTACACCTGGTGACTGCTCTACTCTTTAAATGAGCTTCAGTGCGGATATGTGTACAAAACCATCTAATCAACCAATCAGCTGCATCCTTTTAGATTCCAAAGGGTATATTCTATATCTATCCCTGAATCAGATAGACTGACAGGCAATGTGATTGCTAGATACATAAAGGTAAAGCAAATATCGCCAGCACACTAAGGATATTTGAAATGGTGTTCAAAGGTTTATTTAAGTGATCACGTCGCACCATAAAAAGTCAGCATTTCAGGGTCATGCATGACGCCTTCATCAGGCATTGACAATTTCAGAGTGTAATGCAGTGGCATTTAACCACTTGCCTACCAGGCCAATTCTGACATTTCTGTCATACATGTAAAAATCTGAATTTTTTTTGCCAATTACTTAGAACCCCTAAACATTATATATTTGTAAGCAGAGACCCTAGAGAATAAAATGGTGGATGTTGCATTTTCGTATGTCACACGGTATTTGTAAAGCCGGTTTTCCAAATACAAATGTTTTAAAAAAAATATTGTAATTAATTTTAGTAAACACGACAGAATAGCCTATTTTTTGGCAAAATATAAAATGATGATGTGACACCAAGTAAATACGTATCAAAACATGTCACGCTGTAAAAATGTGCAAGCCCGTGGAACAGCAACAAACTATGGTACATTAAATAATCCATAGGTAACTCTTTAAAAGCCTTTACAGGTTACCAGGTTAGAGTTACACAGGAGGTCTGGTGCTAGAATTATTGGTACAGAACAGACAAAAGATATATAAACGTATGACCTGCAGTAACTAGAAACACCTTTACTAACCTGCGCTCGGTCTTCATCGAATTCCAGACATCCCATGCCATCCAACCTTTGGAGATCAATCCATCCCTTCCACATGACACAAACACCATTCAGGATCATTGGAGCCTTTAAATATACCTAAAAAAGAGGAAGGTATTGTGTTTAATTGTTTCACTGAGACTGAAATGCAGGAAGTTATAGAAATATTGACACTATAATGTATTTATTATAAAAACAAACACTATATTTTATTGCAACAAGTTAAGAATCAGAATATGTCTTGTTATTCCCCTATAACAGCACACTGGGAGAGGCAGCCAATCAGGTTTGGCAGTGCATATATGCTGACAGTATTAAAGAATAGAGTAACCACTAATCACAATGCCGTTGCTCCTTTAGAGCTCGTTTACACGTGCTTCAACATGTGGCATTGGACACACTTTTTTAAAGCACTATGACTGAATGCCAATCAAAGCACCTGTAACTAAAATAAAATGGTAAGCTTACAGTCCTGTTTACACATTGCCTTTGCTTCAAAAGTTATACCCAATTTCACTTTCTTGGTGCTTCAAAGTGCCTCCAAAGCCTCCAAGGAAGTCTATTACAAAGTTCGATAACAGCACCTGCAGCTTTAAGAGGTTTTTATCCAGGTAGCTTTGCTTTGTTTTGGAGGTATTAGAGATATGAGATATCCCAGGATGCACTGGGAATCCAACAAGTGAACCAAAAAGATCAGCAGTAACTTTTGGTTTGTGTGTACAGTGGATATAAAAAGTCTAAACACCCCTGTTGAAATGTCAGGTTTATAAAGATAAATCATTTCAAAACTTTTTCCACCTTGAATGTAACCTAGAAACTGTACAACTCAGTTGAACAACAAGCTGAAATCTTTTAGGTGGAGGGCAGTAAAAATAAAAAAATAAAATATGGTTGCATAGGTGTGCACACCCTTAAACTAATACTTTGTTGAAGCACCTTTGGTTTTATTACTGCAGTTTTTTGGGTATGAGTCTATCCGCATGGCACATCTTGACTTGACAATATTTGCCCGCTCTTCCTTGCAAAAAAACACTCCAAATCTGTCAGATTGCGAGGGCATCTCCTGTGCACAGCCCTCTTCAGATCACCCCACAGATTTTCAATCGGATTCAAGTCTGGGCTCTGGCTGGGCCATTACAAAAAACTTTAATCTTCTTCTGGTGAAGCCATTCCTTTGTTGATTTGGATGTATGCTTTGGGTTGTTGTCATGCTGAAAAATGAAGTTCCTCTTCATGTTCAGCTTTCTAGCAGAAGCCTGAAGGTTTTGTGCCAATATTGACTGGTATTTGGAACTGTTTATAATTCCCTCTACCTTGACTAAGGCCCCAGTTCCAGCTGAAGAAAAACAGCTCCAAAGCATATCTCCCCAAACCCTCAATTAATCACATCCTGACCGCCCCATAACAGAAATACTGCTACAGGTGCACAAAATCACATACATACACATTATATATACATATATATATATATACACATACATACATACATACACACACACGATTTTGCATTACTGGGTAGGGGGCGCACGCGAGCTGCGAGTGCGCCCTACCCGCGCCGCCATTTGCGGCTGCGGCTGTCAATCACTGGGCCCCAGCTGGTAATTACCCGCCGGCGCCTGGTGATTACTGAGCATCTCCAACGGGGAGAATGACCGTTTTGCTTACAGTCTTCCTCCCTCTCAGCTCGGGGACCCCGCCATCCCGATCAGTGTGCTTACAGTGAAGCACGCACACCCTTCGCAGCCCCCTAGTAAAACACTCCCTACATATAGTTAACCCTTTGATCACCTCTCGTTAACCCCTTCCCGCCCAGTGCCATTAGTACAGTGTCAGTGCTTTTTTTGTAGCATTGATCACTTTACTGGTGTCACTGGGGATGTCAGTGACACCTAGTTAGTTCCCCCCCAGTGTCAGAATGTCTGCTGCAGTCCCGCAAAAAGTCACTGATCGCCACCATTACTAGTAGGAAAAAAAAATTAAAAAAATCCCAGTATCTATATTGCCATTTGTAATCGCTATAAATTTCACATAAATCAATCAATAGCAAAGACATGTCGCAGTATACATTTTAGGCTAAATTTATAACGAAATTTGATTTTAAAATTTTTTTTTTACTGGACTTCTTCAATAGCAAAAAGTCAAAAATATTGTTTTTTTCTCAAAATTGTTGGTCTTTTTTTTACAGCGCAAAAAAATAAAAACCTGCACAGGGGATCAAATACTAATCGCAAGAAAGCTCAATTCGTGGGGAAAAAAGGACGTTAATTTCATTTGGGTGCAGCATTGCACGACTGCGTAATTGTCAGGTTAAGTAACGCAGAGCCATATCACAAAAAATGGCCTGGTCAGGAAGGGGGGTAAATCCTCAGGAGAGCAAGTGGTTAACCTACTAGCAATTACAGAAACCTGGCTTTAAGCATCAGATTCTGCTTCTCCCACAGCACATTCCTATGTAGGCCTTCTTCGGACCCACTCACCCAGGCCCAGTGGTCAGAAAGGAGGTGGAGTTGGTTTGCTTCTATCCCCACTGAGCACCTTTCAAGTCCTCCCTAACCCTCCCTCTCAATCCTTCTCTTTCGAGACCCACTGAATTCAGCTGTTTTCTCCCATTTCTCTGAGGATTGCAGTGATCTAGCAGCTTCCTGGAACCGGTGTCGTGCTTTCTTGAGGACTTCTCTGCTTGGCTACCCTACTTTCTCTCCTCTGAAATACCCACTATCATTCTGGGAGATTTTAATATCCCCATTAATGTGAACAACACGGCTACATCCCAACTCTTCAACCTAACTTCATCTTTTGCCTTAACACAATGCCTTATCCCCTCTTCAGTCTATCATGAATGCTGCTGCCAGACTCATCCACCTTACTAACCATTCTGTATCTGCCACCCCTCTCTGCCAATCCCTCCACTGGCTTCACATTGCCCAACGAATAAAATTCAAAACATTACCAATAACATATAAAGCCATTTATATCTCTGCCCCAAATTACATCACCAATCTTGTCTCCAAATATCACCCAAACCATCCTCTCTGCTCTTCCCACGACCTCCTGTTCTCTAGCTCCCTTGTCTTCTCCTCCCATGCTCATCTCCAGGACTTCTCCAGAGCCTCCCCTATCCTCTGGAACTCTCTACCCCAATCTATCCGACTATCACCTACCCTGCCCACTTTTAGGCGATCTCTGAAAACCTTCAGGGAAGCCTATCTTAAGCTAATGGAACCTTCTATTCCTCCTATCATTTCATCCCCACAGTTATTACCTTTTTATAACACCAGCCCCTCCCTCTTAGATTGTAAGCTCCAATGAGCAGGGCCCCGCTAAGCCTCTTGTATTGAACTGTATTGTTGCTGTATTGTCTCCCTTTATATTGTAAAGCGCTGAGCAAACTGTTGGCACTATATAAATCCTGTAGTATAATAATAATAATGATGCTGCCACCACCATGCTTCACTGTGGGTATGGTATTCTTTTGGTGATGTGCAGTGTTGTTTTTTGCGCCAAATAGATCTTTTGGAATTATGGCCAAGAAGTTCAACCTTGGTTTCATCAGACCATAACACATTTTCCCACATGCTTTTGGGAGACTTCAGATATGTTTTTGCTAAATTTAGCCGGGCTTGGATGTTTTTCTTCGCAAGAAAAGGCTTCCGTCTTGCCACTCTAACCCATAGCCCAAACATATGAAGAATGCGGGAGCTTGTTGTTACATGTACCACCACAGCCAGTACTTGCCAGATATTCCTGCAGCTCCTTTAATGTTGCTGTAGGCCTCTTTGCAGCCTCCCAGACCAGTTTTCTTTTCGTCTTTTCATCAATTTTGGTAATGTCATTGTTGTGCCATATTTTCTCCACTTGATGATGACTGTCTTCACTGTGTTCCACGGTATATCTATTGCCTTGGAAATTCTTTTGTACCCTTCTCCTAACTGATACCGTTTAACAAAGATCCCTCTGATGCTTTGGAAGCTCTCTGCGGACCATGGCTTTTGCTGATGCGACTAAGCAAATGTCAGGAAATACCTACTAGAACAGCTGCACTTTATTTGGTGTTAATCAAACGCACTTTAAATGATGGCAGGTGTGTACTGACTCCTATTTAACATGATTTTGAATGTGATTTCTTTTTTCTGAACACAGTAACATCCCCAGTTATAAGAGGGTGTGCACACTTATGCAACATTATTTTATTTTTTTTGTGTTCAATTGAGTTGTACAGTTTATAGGTCACATTAATGGTGTAAAAAGTTCTGAAATGATTTATCTTCGTCTCATTTTTTTACATCACAAAAACCTGACATTGTTTAGATTTTTTTATATCCACTATATATATGCTGAAAGTGTCTGGTGAAGACATCACATCTAGTGTGCAGCATGGAGTAGCAGGAAGGGTCCGGACTGGAGCAGATCAACTAGTAGAGTAGATGGCACACATGGTGTGCATCATGATATTGCATATTAAAGAAGGTGAGAAGGGACCGAAGAGAGAGGACTGAGTGGTGGATGAGCAGCGTGGCTGGGGGACTGGAGCAGAAGAAACTAGCAGATGTCACACATAGTGCTCAGCATAGGAGCAATATAGTGGAAGGTGAGTGGGGGACTAGAGAGGGAGGATGACCAGCAAACCAGGGGATCAGTAGAGCTGGGGGTTACTACTGAGCAGGGGATCTACTGAACAGGGGTGCTAATGAGCTGAGGATCTGTGAATGAGGGTACTAATGAGCTGAGAATCTGTGAATGGGGGTACTAATGAGCTGAGAATCTGTGAATGGGGGTACTAATGAGCTGAGAATCTGTGAATGGGGGTACTAATGAGCTGAGGATTTGTTGAATAGGGGTAATAATGAGCTGGGGATTTGTTAAATAGGGGTAATAATGAGCTGGGGATTTGTTAAATAGGGGTAATAATGACCTGGGGATTTTTTGAATAGGGGTAATAATGAGCTGGGGATTGGTTGAATAGGGGTAATAATGAGCTGGGGATTTGTTGAATAGGGGTAATAATGAGCTGGGGATTGTTGAATAGAGGTAATAATGAGCTGGGGATTTGGTGAATAGGGTACTATTAGTAATAGTACTAATGAGCCAGGGTTTTTCCG